CCATTTTAGGCTCCTTCCTAAACCAATAACACAGTCTAAGCACCAACACAGTCCATGTGGAGTGTTCTCTTTTGAGTCTTATGAACTAGAAGAGTTATTGTGTATGGCACTTTTTCTCACAGGTCAGACTTAGACATGTACAAAGGGTGACTTGATGAATGTCTGCTGGAGTTGGCATTATAGGGAAATTTCAAAATGCAGTTCTTGATATGTCAGTGTGAACTAAAAGATAATTCTGCTTATTTAGGTTTTTTTCTAATTACACAGAAATAGGGGAAGCAGTAGTTATTGTGTGTTCTCTCGGATTCTAAAGGGATCAGCAAATATCTGATACCTCATAAAAGAAAACAGTCTGCTGAAATAGACGCACTTTTAGTGAGGAGGGGCTCAGTTATTTACAATACATGGTAGCAATCAAAGGTGGAAGTGATGAATTGCACAAACATTTTAAGCAGCAAGGAAAAAGAATTCACAGATAGACTGCAAATTCTGTAGATTTTCTGGTAAAAAAAGTAAGCACAGATAGACTGCAAATTCTGTAGATTTTCTGGTAAAAATGTAAGTATTCTTCCCCTTCTATTCAGTGGTTTTGGACTTTTTAATTGCCATGGAGACTATTCATTTCCTTCTGACTTGCACTGTAGATCTCTACATCCATTTGAAAAAAGGAACAAACAAAAGGAAACAGACCAGTGACTAGGTTGATTCTGTGGAGGACACCTCAGCATTTGGAAATTTCTGTGTGTCAGCCTTTGGCAGGAACACGTGTAGTACATGAAACAAGCCTAATTATATCAGTCTTATTCTGCAAGATCAAGTTGCTTTGCATTTTAAGTGCTGAGGTGTCCCACAGTCTCTTGCCTCCACGGTACACAAAGGTATGGTGCCTTTTCTTTTGTTCTGGTCAGGTGCAAATATTTGCACATGGGAAAATGTTTTAGCTCCACAGACCAATAGATCAGCCATCTGCCTGGAAAAGGGAACGCCTTGCTGTGCTGAGACGGATACACAGGGGAGGATCCTGTTCTGTCAGTTCTCAGATTCCTGAGCCTCACCTCACTGACGTTAAGTCCACGTTTGTTTGTCTACTCTTGGTCTGATTACACCAGATAAATCCAGACAGTAAAGCAGAGACGGATATGTGAGCAGGTGGCAGTAATTTTGCTTCCCAGAATATGTTGTGTTCATACCAAAGGCAAAACTTAGAGAAATCTTTTTGTATAAAACATGGATTTCTACAGGTGATGCCGCATTATGCCCATGAAAATGTTAACATCTAAACACAGAGAATACAGGTTATGAATTCTGTAAAAACACACAGTCTACACAGATAGGTTTTCTCATCTACTGGTCCTTTTACTGTGAATGAATTTATTCCATGTAAAACAACTGCTCTCACATTCACATTTTCAGTCTTTTATTGTCTTCCTTCAGCTCTAACCTGATTGGTTTAGTTCCAGATAGCCAAGGAACAAAAGGAACAGTTCCCAACTCTTTCCTTAAGAAAGTGGAAAGTAAAGAGTATAAATAAAAATCTGCCCACTAATATTGTGAATAAATTTGTGTGGTGAGCAAACAGAAAAGCAGGGAATAAAAGAGAGAGCAGATTATCATGCTATTTATTTCAGAGGAAAAGAGGGGAAAGAATCGTGTTAAGTCTGTTATTGAACAGGTTACAGACTTACTCTCTTATCTCAGAGCAATGAGACTTTAATCTGAGATATGAGTTTCTGTTCCATCAGCAGAAATATTACCTGACAAAAGAGACTTCAAAGAGAAGGCAGAAATGTAGTAACAGCTCTAAAATTAGGGATAAAAATTAGGGATAAGTGTTAAATTGAGTAATGAATAAAAAATATGTGCATGCAGGGTGTCTTTTACCTGAATATCTAGCTCCACCAAATGGGCTTGATGTGAGTCTTTAAGAATGTCAAAGATTTAGTCCCATTTCTGAAGGCTACAGCTGGGAACAGATTTTGGCATAGTACTTGTGGGGATTTGAGAAGGGAAAGAAAAGGGTGAAATCCCGTTTACTGACTTTGCAAAGAGATTTCATCTGACACAGCATAACTCATGTGCCTGTGACATGTCTAGAAATTGGCTACTCTCTGCTTGAATGAGTGGTTTCTTAAAACTGTTACAAATTTCCACAACAGCGAATACTGCTCTAGGTTACAGATGCAATCATTATCAATAATACCTTTGGAAATGAGCCTGGATTTTCTTCAAATGTTAAAATAACATTCATTGCAGTGTAAATCTAAAGGCTAGCTTTCGTCTGACAATTAAATCAGTGATCATTGCATTGTTCTGAAAATTTGGTTATTTATTTTGTTTAATTCACGTAGTTTGTTTCCTGTCTGCTGGCTCAATATCAAATGCCAAAATAAGCAGAACAACCATAGCCTTCCAGGACTAAGGTTTGAATTACTTGTTTCTTCTACAATTTCAGTAAGTGGTAATTCTACCATTTTTCCCCTTTTACAGTATTTTACAGGTGAGATTATGAAGTTAGGCTTTCCTGAGATCAAGCAAGATCTGGACTGTGATCTTGTATCACAAATCTTTTTGGATTGCATCTTTGTGCATTCTTGACAGCCACCTCTTGGCTTATGAATTGATCCACTAAAGGAATACAGAGCTTTAAACTGGACTTGAAGAGAGAAGGGGATAAAACCCAGGCTCCCTGGAGTTAAGTCTGGCAGTGTCACACAGATGTTTGAGGGACAGTGTGCTAGTGAGGTCCTTTGGTCTGTTCTCTCAGTGGAGGTAGGGGATGAAGCAATGTGGCAGCAGAGACACAAGGGTTATTGATATCAGAAACCACAGAGTGCCTGGGAATGGTCATGTAGGAATTAGGGTTTCTCCCTCCAAAATGGTGGCAAGATCAATAGCCCAGCTGAAGAGCATCTACACAGTGCACACAGCATGGGCAACAAGCAGAAGGAACTGAGAGCCACTGGGAATCAGAAAAACTGGTGTAGATTGCCATCATGGAAACATGGTGTGCTGACAGGCACAACTGGAGAGCTGCACTGGATGGCTATGAACTCTTCAAAAGGGACAGGCAAGGAAGGGGAGGCAGTGGGGTGGCCCCATATGTTAGGGAGTTTGGATGGTCTAGAGCTTGGTGATGGTGATGTCAGGGTAAGGGTTGGTGAATGTTTATGGGTAAGAGTTTGGAAAGGCCAATAAGGCAGGGGCGTGTCCAGAGAAGGGCAGTGGAGCTGGTGAAGGGTCTGGAACACAAAGCTCTGGGAGGAGTGGCTGAAGGTACTGGGGTTGCTTAGCCTGGAGAAAAGGAAGATGAATGGCTGCTGTGGCTACCCTGCATCATCTCTGGCAGCTAGTTTGCATTCCTTTCTCCAGAATATCTCTGGCATGCTCAAAAGAGGGTATGACCACAGACAGGGAAAGCTTGCCAAATCTGGAACAGATAAAGATATAAATGAGTAGAGCTCAACACAAATCAAAGGAATGAGATTTGCAGTTTAATTTTACTTCTAGCACTTTTCCCATAGGTTAAAAAGATCTTACTGATTGTAAAGACAATACATTCCTAATTACTATTTTTTTCTCTTAGTGTACAGGTCATTTATCTCCACTCCATTGGAATATATGCTTGTATTCAAATTTTACATAATTGTGAAGATGTGGATATGTGCAATATAACTCACTCATGACATATTAATACTAGGTATTGTGAATTAGCAAAGCTTTCCTGCAGAGATCCTTCTCTCATATACTATATGTACAGAGGCAGCATCAAGCAAACACAGGTGGCACCAACAAATGACACAGGTGCTTTACGTGTAACATAACATACATGCTCCTGCTGTAGGTGAATTGCTAATGATTTTGCTCTAACAAAAACCCACATTGCTGGGATAGTAAACAATTTCAAGTGACTTTAGCTTTTTACTCAAAACAGGTGTCCACCCTTGCATAAAGTGAATCCTGTGAAAATTTTGCCAAGATTTTGTATGTACAGATTCCCTCAATAAGCTGCCAACTTTATGGTGGAATTCTGCAGAAAAAGAGGGAATGACCTGGGATGAGCTTCCCATGACTGAAATGACATTTAAATGCCAAGAGCTAGGATAAACTTCCTCATTTTTCTCATGCCGGAATCTACAAACTTAGCCTCAGTTTTGGAGTTCTGGGTCTATCTCCTTCCATCTCTCTTGCTTCACTAATTACATTTAAATCCCAAGAGCTAGGATAAACCTCATTTTTCTCATGCCAGAATCTACAAACATCACTTAGCTTCAGTTTGGAGTTCTGGGTCTATCTCCTTCCATCTCTCTTGCTTCACTGTATCTTTATTGCAGCAAAACATGTAACTGCCTTTTGATTATTATCACCTCACTGAGACTGCATGCTCCCTCTCTTCCATTTTCAGCTATCACAATAAAAGTTAAAGGATTATACAGAGGAAAGCTAAGCCCAGAATACTGTTGTTGTAGGTGTTTTTGTTTGATGTTTGTTGTGTTTTTGTTTGTTTGTTTGTTTTTGAGGGTTTGGTTTGGTTTGCCTTCCCCCCCTATGTAAGCTATTCCAAAATTTATAGCATGAGCTTTCCAGTCTGATTTGACAGTAAAGTTTCCTTTAATGAAAAATGACTGTATAAAGCAGGGCTACACTAACAATTAATAAGTTTCTTGCAATAAAAGTTAAAATGGGGAGGCAAGATGTAGATATTAACTCATGTAATAAATTGCAAACAGACATCAAAAAGATTGTACTCCTCTTCAGAAGTCATAGCTCACCTAACTGATTCACAATTGGGTTGCTAAAATACAGCTTAAATTTGATGCACTTATAACCATAATTTTCAGTTACTTATATAATTAATTTCAAAGTGTTTAATGTATTTCTCCTCATGTTTTCCAAACTTTAGTCTTTCTATTTTTGTTCTCCAAGCTGTACATATACATTTCGTATGAAATCTGATATACCAAATCTGCTTGGTAAAAGTTCAGCTTGCAAGTAGAGACAGAGGTGCAGCTTCACCTCGTAGAGGTTATGGTCATTTCACTGGTTACAGTTCTGTCTGAATGAGGCGTAGTGCTTTCTTCATGTTCTCTATTACTGAAATAAAAAATAAATAAGAACTGTGAAAATGTATTAGAAGTACATTTGTACAATTAAAAAAAAACCCACCTAGCTTTGTTTAGTAAATTATTCACAATGAAACTGATTTAATGGTAACACATTTTATTTTAGAGATTGATATTAAACAGAAAGAAAAAAAATTCATGAATCAAAATGTATAACTTAAAGGATTTGACAAGAATTCTTGCAACTCCCTCATTTCTCAACAGCAATCTGGTAATCAGATGTGATGTGTGTATTTGTGGTGAGATACTGCCTTGGTGTCAAATAGATGGCATAGAGTAAGAACTGGCTCAACCTGAAAAATCACATTCCTTTCTGATATATGGCTGTTAGGGGTACGGACACAACCACCTGCATTTCTTTACTGATTCCCTCCCACCACGGGCTATTTGCATTGTACAGTCAGATACTTTCAAGCATAGTGACTTTCACCATTCTCCGTACAACTGCTCAGATCTTGATCCTGAAGGTTCTCACCCATGATCTTTCAATTTTTCTTACTTGAGTAGTCCCAATAAATTCAATGGGACAATGTGTGTGGTTGTTTCTCTAGAAAAGGTTAGACCATTGTAATTTATTGCAAATGCTCTCACAAGGAATTTATTCTTTACTTTGAGATCCTAATGGATTCTCAAGCCCAAGTGATCAGGATGGGGGGTATCTGGCTGCCTACAATGTGAAATACAAAGTAACACAGCCAAGGGCACTTACAGAACATCATGTCCTGCGGTTCGTAGGTGTAAAGCCGGTTGGAGTATCTGCCTGTGATGTCAGCTCTTACCGTGAGAGATGGGTCTGAAAAAGTGTTTGGGTTAAATACTGCCCTCCATTCCCACAACAGCTGAGGGTGATCGCCTGGCATTACTTTGGCAGCCCTGTTTCTGATTTCATCAGTGCAGCAATTATGAGGCTGTTACGTTCTGTTCCAAGCAACTGCTCTTTACTTGGAGAAATCCTGAACAAAAGCTAACACTCATTTTTATAGTACACAGCTAGGTTTAAATGCTAGGTTACTCATTCATATTTAAAGAAAAATGTCCCGTTTTACAGGTTCTGAGTTTACATCAGAAGAGGTTAATCTGACCAGATGCACACATAGTAGTGGTCATGCCTATCTATGGCAGTAGATAGCATGACTTACCTAGGGCCTTCAGAACATCTGATTCTTAATGTTCCCAAAGTGGGAACAAGTTGTTGTGAACCTCTCTTCTCTCAGTTACCCTTCCAAGTTTATTATTAATTTACTGATTGCTAAAACTACACTGCTCTTTGTCTGAGTGTGGGCTGAACTCTGAATGCCATCACAGAGCTAGTCACTCCAGGCTTCCTGTACAATGATTGAGAAGGAACAGGCACGCCAAGGCATAATTAATTTGGTCCATTCCAGAAGTCAGCTTTAAAAGGGGACAAATCCTTAGATACCAATGACTATTGCTTTATTCTGTGGTAATGTCCACTTTATAGCCATTTACATTCAGTCAGATATTGGACTTTTTCAGTAAACTTTGTCTTGTAACAGCACTAGCAAGAAGCACAGAGAGCAAAAGCCCAGATATTAACAGACTTTTAAATGTTCTGCTCTCAAGCCCAAATTAATATCCTCCAGGACATATCTGTAATGTGAGGAGCTTTACAAGAGTCAAAGTATACAACAGAAGCAGAGAGATTTTCTTTCGGCAAAATGAATCACTTTGATGTCCCCACAGGACAAGAGTGGCATAATTCAGATATAACAACTTTGATGATACATAAATATTTTACATACCTACAAACATGATTCGAGGCACATACTGTCCATCAGGTGACAGGTTTTTATCTGTGGTTTCATGCTGGTATAAAAATTAAAGCTAGTTGTTAAAATGTTTCAATAAATTTTGCTGAAATAGTACTACATGTGAGTAACCTTGTACCAGAAGACAAAACCAAATAGGTACTACTCATGTGTGAATACACATGCACAATTGCCTCTACTTAAATAACTAAAATATCAGATATATTATCTAAAATGACATGAAAAAACAGGGCAAAGAAAGAGAAAACACAGACAATGAAACAATACCAGTCAAATCGCCCCAAACCCTTCATACCATGAGATTCAGCATAATGAAGTTATTTTGGGCCATTTCCTGTATTTCTTCATTTTCTGCGAAAGCTTTCTTCAGTGCTAGAAAAGACAGGAACACTTTGAAATCCATCTCAAACGCTGCCTTTCCATCTGTGCTTGGGCACCACACTGGCCAGAGACTGGGCCACATTGTTCTGTGCTGATTCACATTCCTGAGGAGACACTTAGGGTCTCTATCGCTGCTTTTGGGGGCTTTTTGGCCTGTGGCAGTGCAACCTCTGGCTATGAAAATGGAAGCTCTCTTCTGTTATTTATGAAGTCTGTTGTCTCAATGGATACCATGTCTTGGCATGACAAAAGTGCATTTTTCTCAGAAAATTCTTGTTAGATCAATTTCAGCAGCCCTGTCCTTGCCTCCTTCTTTAGTTACCATTTCAGGAGAGCTAAACAATATTCAATCTGTTCAATGAGTGGGTAGCCAATCTGTGCCTCTTAATTTAAACTGAGTGCTGCATTTGGGATAGCAGCACAGCAGCAGTGAGAATTTTTGATGTTCTTTATTGCATAGTTTCATAGTGGAGTTTTTGTAAATAATGGTAATAAATTTTTCACTTTTCATTTACCTGTTTTTCTGAATAATTTTCAGTAAGTGCAATGCAAATATAGGTTCAGTTTCTTACAAAAGTATTCACAAAATTTTAACATATAAAAAATCAAAATTACCTTGGCAGTATTGACAGTCTTCCAAATGATGAATTACCATCAGTGGCTTGTTACTTTATTAACAATAATAAAAGATGTAGTTAGGTCATTTGACATGTATTTAGATGGATGATTTTACTAGCAGACTGAAAAAGACAAATTGCATTTAATCATATGTTAACCCACAGTAAAACCATGCCGACATTCTGTAAAATATTACAGAAATTTCTGAGCAAGGGAAAAGAGCATAAGCACTCAATAAAAGAAAGAGATAGAGAAACAGAGTTTCTGTGACTAAATAGGCTGTCTATAGTAAGAGATTCTAGAAGAAATAATTTCATAATTCACCATAATTTAATTGCCAGGTAGTAAATAATCAGATTGAATAGGTATTTAATGTTGCTTAGGTGAGACTTTCTCCAGGGTTAAGAAAATAAAAATAATATATATGAATTAGAATAAAATAGATTTTAGAAGATTGGGTTTATCATCAAATACTTTCCATGAAAAGTTTCTTGTGTTTTAAGCTTTCTTGAATAGCTATACAGCATATTACTTATCTTCTGTAAATAGCTTGATAAAGTGTTAAATTTTTATATTTTGGATGTCAAAGCATAAACAAATTCTGTGCATTTCCTCCCATATTTTTTAAATTATATTTACTGTTCAGCAGGTCAGTTATTAATGCTGGGTCTGCTTTCAATGTCAGGAGTTATTAATTTCTAACCATTTTCACACAGGGTACATGAAATTAATTATCTTTTGTTTTACATATAATTTGTCTTCAATTTAGCAATAGCTCATGCTACACTATTGTGATCTACAATGAGCTGTAAAATATATTTAAATAAGTATTGTTATGAATTCTCAAATATATTTGCAGCTGAGTCTCCAAGAAGACAGCTTGGAACTTCCTTTTCTATCAAGATAGTGAGAAAATATATAATGAACATATTTCAGCTAATAAAGTGTTGGGGGAAACATCAAAGGCAGTAGATTACCATACAAAAGAAAATGTCACAGATTTCAAGGAAGTAATCAGAAGCACATGACATTAAAACACAATAGATGTAGTTTAAAAATGTATGGTATCTATTTCTGAGCGATAATGTAAATAACAACTCTTGTGGCAAAGAAATGACAGCATTACATTATTGGTCCATGATGTTTCTTCAGAGTCATAAGAGTCCTAGAAGTCCTTTTGTTTATAGGCAGTCTGTTTATTTAACTGGGTGGTCTGCAGATCAGCTCTCATGGTGTTTCTTTGCTCTGTCTCATTATTGTGTATTCCAGCAAGACAGATTAACAGCTTTGTCTTCATGCTACTTTTTAATCTCTTACCTTTTCTTTGCTTGGTAAAGCCCTTCTTCATAAGTTTGTACCCATGTAATTTCATCTCCCCACCCTAGAAATAAAACAAAAGGACTAGCTACTGGCCAGGCAAGTAACTAATAACAAATTCTTTTTTTAATATTTTTTTTCTTTTTTGTTTATGTGTATTAACTTTTGTATGCAAATAAGATTTGGGGTTTTTAGTTGGAGGTTCTCTAACATTGTGGATATGCTAATTTTACATCTCCTGATAGATACACTAAAAGTTTAAAAAACCTCAACCAAACAACCCAGCCTCCCAAAAATCTCAGCTGGTTGCGTATCCAGTTCAAGTCCTTTGACAGACTTTTAGTAATCTTTCTAAATGCTCAGAGGTCCCTAAATCAGCACCCAAGTCCTTTCTATCTTCATATTTTCTGCTCAGTATTTCATGTAGACCCTGGGACTTAAAGAGAAGCTGGCATATAATAAGATAAAAAGAAAATATGACAGCTCAAATAAGATCAGCTTTAATATGAATGTCATTAGAACAGTCTTGGAATATACACTTAACTCCAAAGTAACTTCAATCCCTGAAGTTGCAAGCTCTTCATTTAATTAAAGAATTCAATCAAGGAATGGCTGTTAAATAAAAATCTCCACTGAAACAAAATCCTAACATCAGCTCCATGGCTCATCCATAGCTGGGGATATGCAGATCTCAAAAAATCAAATTGTCCAGTTGGTTTCATGCCTTCAGGTCCAAAGGATGCCAGCCCTTGCATAGTAGATCCCTGTATCCTAGGCAGTGTGGCTCTATTCATGACAACTCTCATGGGAATTGTAGAACAATTTCTGGACCAGGTTAAAGTTCTGGTTTTTCTGTGCTGTCTGGACAGTACTTTGACCAGCCCAAATTTGCTGTTGGATTTCTCACAGGAGAATTGCTTGTGATGGTTCTAGATCATGTCTTCTTCCAGTACACAGGTCTGCCTGGCTGGTGGTGGGACTCTGGCATGCTGACCAGTGCCTTCCCAACCCTGGCTGCTTCAGCTCCTGCTGCAGGTAACTGCACACAGGAGTCAGCAATTTGGGGGCATTTTGCAGCACATTTTAGCATTTCCCCTTGTCTGTGAAAATTATAGGTAAAGTGCTCAAGGCATCCCAATAGGCCTGAAATCAGAATTTTTAATTTTTTTTCCAAATCTGACATAATGTGAAATTTTTTAAAATCGTTTTTGTCCTTTTTGGCTTACTGAGAAAAAAATAAATCCTGATCTAGGGAAACTAGGCAACGCATTCCAGATTGATAATAACCTTTCCCCAGGGACACTGCTTGCAAAAAGCGTTGTGAAATTTCTCTTAGTTTAGTCCAGGTGGTGCATGATTTTGTCAAATGATCTCTGAGCAATTAAGCTCAGATGGAACATCTGAGAGATGTGCAACATTTCCAGGATAGGGAAAACTCAGATCCTGTGGGATCTGCAGGCATTATATGGCCTGCAGAAGAGATTAGGAAGAGAGATGAAGATTTGGTTGTTGTTGTTGATTAGTCCCAAAAGGAGGAGAAAGATGGGGAAAAGAAAAAGACCTTGCTAAGCTATTTTTCTGCTTGTATTTCTAAGGATTGATTAGATATAAATAAGTTAAAACAGGGTCTTTATTTAACATTCAGGTTGAAAATTAGGCACCCTAGGGAAGTGAATTACACACAGTCATGCTTTGCAGTGGATATCTGATGAAAAGCAGAAAAAAAAGTCATGCAGGAAACCCCATCAGTGGTTCAAACTGTTCTGTGTACAAAAATGAGTCTGTAGAAAATTTGTTCCATAGCAATTGATGTTATGGTAGGTTACAATAAGAACATATATTTCAAATGGTCTGTGAAAGAATATTTTTTCACTGATAATCCTACATGTACATCTTGATTTGAGAGACTCAGTTCAGGTTATTTGCTTCTGTTAGGTCACTGTGAATTATATGAAATATGCAGGTTATATGAGGCCCTCAGTCACATGCTTAATAACCTGATGGAGTCAAATGATGTGAAATAAGAACATATATTAATTAGAGCATCACATAACACTAAAGAAAACACACCTCAGTCAATATATATGTGCATTCTAGGTAAGTTTTATAAATATATATGTTTGTGTATATATATAGATACACATTCTATAAATGTACACTCAAAATAAACATAATTGCTGATCTGTGTGGTGAGGTAAGGAGATAACTACATTCAGTGAACACAAAATACCTCTTGACAGTGTCTGAGGTGCTCGTTTTTCCTTTTTAATTGCCATTGCAAGGTTGGAAGTGACTGCAATTAGCAGGAGGGACAAGGCCAGTGTAGAATGGAGCATTATTTCCCTTCCGATGCAAGGAAACTGGAAAACAAAGAAACAGTTTTAGTCACATGCACTTGTCACCTGGTGCAGTGTAGATCAATATGTTAATGGCATCCTAACAATCTGTATTTCAGAGACATTTCTGGTTTTTTTTCTAGAAATGCTTGTCTTTGGGAGGAAAATGCAGACTGGAGGTGCTTAATTTTACTGTGCAATGCTACTTTCAGCAGTCAAAATGAGGCTGCAGGCTACTGTTCTCATGTAATTCTCATGAACTAATACAATGTTGTAATACTGGATCACAACAATTTCAAGATCCTGCTCCAGGTTTTTTCATTTCAGTGAAAAGTAACGTTATTTCTTTTTACATTGGACCCATTTTGTCAAAAGATGTCTCCTAATATCCTTCTTAATTAAGTAGGAAGATTGGCAAGAATTTGCCCCAAGTATAATACTCTTTAAATTGTCCAATCCTTCGAAAATGTTGAAATTGCTGTAGTTTTTAAAGTCTCCACTTAAAAAATTTCCCGTTCTTCATTGCATCTTTTACACTGAATTTCAACTCCTTCTGAATAAAACAATTCATCTGTGTTTCTGGCTGGGTCAGTATTCTCTTCCTGACCCAGATCAACATTAGAAATTCAGTAACTTCTTACCTTGATAAAAGTCAGCGAACAGAAGCAAGAGTTGAGAAAAAGCATTACAAAGCCAAATTGTTTTTAATTGATAAGTTTACTTTCTTCCAGTACAATCACTTCTAGGCATTAAAGATCTGATACTCAGGTGGATATCAAATGGTTTCAACTGAGTTAAAAAATGTAATGCATGTAGGTCAGGATACCTGTCTCAGTCATTTACTGGAGATCCCACTTTTCAGAGGTTGAGCTTTAGGATCTACCAGGATGCCCCACTGAGAAATTACTTTGACTTGAATAAAAAAACACCAAGCCAAATGAATAATAATAACAATGACTGTCCACCCCTCCTTGCCAAAAAACCCCAAACACCAAAAAAAACCCACCAAAACCCCAAGACATTTGTGCCTGTACTGATAAAGAAAATCTCTAACTTGCATTTAAAATTGATGTTAGTATGGAACTGCAACCCTGAGCACTGAAAAAAGAAAATACTTCATGCATTTTAGAACTGAGAGGCATGCAAAGTACTGTTTTAATGAATCTCTTCACATTACAGAATCACTGTTAGCAGTTAAATATCTTGTGAACAAATTAAAACTCAATTTCTAATAACTGGCAATCTCAATTAGACAAATTCATTCTATTGAGGTGGCTGGAGAAGAAGTTTTACATTAAAATATGCAAAAGCTATTAAAAATAAATTGTAATTTCTTAGTAAGAAGTAGTCTTTCACAATGTATTAATAAAAAAATCAAAGTGTTAATCTCTTTAAATCACAGGTGAAATCATCTGAAGCTTAATAATTGATTATTCTATTGAAAATTAAAAGGACTTTGGAACTGCAACTGGAGGCAGCTTAAATTTAATATTCCATATTTTTGATGCTGCATATTCCAATATTATTTAATTTATTCAGATAAAAAAAGGACGGCCAACACCACATAGATTGCCTTCAATTGCCTGCCAGAACAAACATTTGCTAGCTAATCTCTATGCATCTATCACTTTTTGTATAACTAGACTTGTAAGTCATTTGTGAACAAAACCTCATTTCTTTACTAAAGGAGAGTTAAGAATGAGAAATACTTGCTCACCAGCAGCAACCAGTTCTCCTGATTGAAGGTCCTTTTCCTGGAATTTGCTAGTTAAAAAACCAGTGATTTAAGCAGAGAACACCTGAGCTGCCCAGGTCTCTGTGTAGCAGCAGCAGCACATTCACCTGGGAAAAAATGAGAGGAACCTTTGAGCTGAAAACCCAAATGATGTGTTTCCACCCTCCCCCTTGCTTTTCTGCCTTGCCTCCAACTTTCTCTCTGCAAGTTCCCATGCTTACACACTGAATCCTTGCATTTCTCTTCATCTTAGCTTGTATCAGGTGTCTTGCATGAGGACTGGAAATAAATAGTGGCTTGTGTTTGTCTGCTAACACCCCCTCGAACAGTTTGAGTCTGGCTTATGTCCAGTGAAAAAAGAAACCACCAATGAAAGCTGGAACTGGAGGTGCTTTTGTTTCCAGAGAATGGCAGAGTTCACTGGTGCTTGAAGATAGGAATGAACCTAATAGGAAGACACAAGGGTTACTTTGTGTAGAGAAGTGTAATTAACAAATAAAACAAACTCTCTTTTTTTTGAGAGGGAAATGAAATTATTTATTTAAAAACTATGGTTTAAACTATCTGAGTATTGTTCCTGGGAGTTGTAGTTTTAAAATATATGGTTTTTTTGGACATGATGCTTGATATAATTTTACTGAACTTGATGAATACAAGCAAAGTCTTTTATTCATCACCTTTGCATAAAGAAGGAATTAATTGGATCACCTTTCACCTCCTTCTTGAACAGCTTTTGCAGGGGAATCAGAAGCAATTCTCTTTTGCTTCTTCTTCTGTGTATTTGTTTATATGGACTGTATGGTTACCATTGTTAAAAATACTGAATTTTTCCAAAATTATAGAAATAATTTTGAGATATTGTGTTCTTAAATTCTGAGGTAGTGTGTTTTTCATGGCACAGGTTTATTATTGTAAGGCATAAAGGGGTAGACATTCAATCAAATAGACTGAAATTAGTGCTGATCTACCTGAGAGTTCCCTTTAGCAGGATCATGTTCAGCAATTTGTCTCTATATTTGTAGGTCAGAATTTCAGCCTTTGTCAATTTTGCTAGAGAGATTGGCAGCCCTGGTCAAAAGGATGCTGTTAAGGTTTAATGCTGAAAGAAAATGATTGTTATAATTTATAAAACCAAGCTGGATACCTTCAATATTCCTATTCAGTCCCTGCTTGCTAAGTGGATCTGATCAGCTGCCCGTCCTTGATTTCTTCTGTTCAGCATCCACACATGAACGGAGTGTGAAGCCAGAGCTCCATCCCAGGCACAATCTGTGCTGCCTGGCAGTCAAACCAGTGACCTGTGCAGCAGCAGTTATCAGCCAAATATTGAATTCAATCTCTGCAATGTAGAGCACAAGCTTCTGCAGAGTCCTCATTGAACCAGTGTGCTCCCACTGCTTGAGCTCAGCCAGCTTAGTCTCCAGGGTAATGGTGGTAGAAAGTCTTTCCATTTTTCTCCTCTACTCTAAAGATTAGTTTTGGAGATACAGCTATGGGTTAACTGTGCATACACAGTTATATCTAGGCCAAAAATAGGAAATGTAATAACTATCTAAAAGTAGGACACAATAAGGCAGCAATAAAGCATGTGTCAAAGACAGACTTTTAGAGAGAGAAAGATGTTGCAGGATAACTGGCATTTGGAATCTCAAACTGCTGCTTTTGTCTGAGTCATGCAGCAGCAGATCTAGGTAAGTATTCATATGTGTAGCCTATTTATGAAAAGTGAGACTGACTTTTAAATTTTACTTTACAGAATGCTGCACAAATGATGTTGTTGATGAAGTTTTTATTCTGCCCAACTCTGTCTTAGCTCCTGTGTGAGCAAGGGATGAGATCACAGCTCCTGTGACAGCTGCAATTCAGTACCATTCCTGCAACCTCTGTGGGCAATTCTGCCAAAGAATTTTACATGTGATCAATGTGCCTCTGCAAATCAATACAAAATTAATTAGGAGATAACAAAGAGAGGTCATAGTATGGCCTGGAGGGCGGAGATGCACCACCACAAATGCCCAAACAAATTTACAGTAAACAATATGGGAAAAATTTGCAGAACACATAATTTCATGGATGGGAGGTACTTCTGGCTCCTAACACTGGCATTTGGTGTGGACTGAGTCTGGATCTCAGTGTGCATTCAAGTAGTACATGGTACCAGAACACAGAACTACTCTTGGGGCATAGAGTGCTGAGCATTAGCTTCCCCTGCCAAACAGTAAAAGGAGTAAGTGGAAAAACCCTGTGAATGTCCACTGGGCTTATGTCTTGACTGACAGCCAAAAATCAATTTCTGGATAATTTCAATAAAGTAATTTAAAGAAATCTAGATATGACATGGTGGTTTGTTTCTGTGTGTCTGTCTTTCAAAATAGTCATAATTGTGGAAATAGTTCTTCTGGTACTAGAAGCTGATTCAGAGCAGATGTACTTTTGCCCCACCCCCTTCCCTAAAAGCAGAGCTCTATGAGTACAAGGGAACAAACTACTCCAGTGTTATCTGCATGCCAGTTTGCTTTTGCTTCACCATTGCACCTTTTTAGCTTTGTATTCCTGTAAAGACATTGTTATGGAACATAAGCATAATAATATAACTGGAAAGCATTTATTGAATTTCTTTTTTCAGTGGTTTGTACTGGCTGCAGTGTTCTCTGGTTCCCAGGCCAATGTCCATGTTTTCACTTCTAAGCCTTCAACTTCTTCCAGTACTGTCACCTCCGACCCCTCCAAGGTTTTCTCTACATTTTTTGGAAGCTGGCCCCTCCATCCTTAAATTGCCCTGTGGTACAGCCCCTGGAAAACTTGGTTCCAGGCTTCATTGACACCTTGCTTTCAGCTGCTCTGCAGCTCTGTGCCTCTGTGAGTCACTATTGTCTATTGGCTCCCACTTCTCAACAAGATTATTTTCCTGCCCTCTGGGGTTCTCGGATTTCCCAGAACTTTTTATAGATACAAAGCTTTGAAGACTGTAAGTGGAAAAAAGTAATTTATTATTTTTCATGGATTTTGCTGAGATTTACAGAATAAATGTGTTTTGGTAAATAAAAGGAAACCAGCTCTAGATGTTGTTGGCTCCTTCCTTCAGTTCAAAAGTATGAGCTGTTCTGGACTGTTTATTTAATGCTGTGAGAGCCCTGGCAGGCAGGACTTTCTCTTCTTTCTCTTCTACCAGCAGATCTTTTTCTTACAGTATGGTTCTAGCCATGCCAGGCGAAGTCTGGGAAGCCACTGCCTGCTCCTAAGCTGCTGGTGCAGCCCAGGGAAC